ATAAATTAGTTTTAAAAATTAAACATTTATACAAAAATTATTGAATTATATTAAGTCTTAGTGCAACTCACGGTTTTCAAATAATTTATTACAAATACTTCTAGTGGTCACTTCATTCTTATCCACAGTACTGTGAAAAACAATCAATACACAGGAAATTTATTTCAATCATCTGGGTGAAATATTAACATTTTGTCAATCTGTTGTTAATTTTATTGCTCTCTTCATGTGTGTAGTAGCTGTTAAATGAAGAAAATAAGATTTTCATACTGATATTTTCTCCCAGGTGGAAATGCTACCGCATTTCATTCTGAAACAACTCTGTACAATCACATAATCAGAATGAATTCTTGTAAAACTTTGAATAAACAAGATACCTGTTTGAAGCTAGGCAACAGCTTGGTAAGCAACCTTAGAATAACATAGAAACCGGCATATCTCAACTTTATTTACGTTAAGTTGTCCTTTTTCCCTTTACTTGGTGCAATGAAATATGTGTTATGAAAATGCTTTATTAAACAAGTTCTACTTTTATGGATAAACACATGCTTATGTAGAAACCAGACACTACATGATACTATGTGGATTAAAATAAAGATGTCTGTTACTTATATGCTACTGTTAAGCATATTGGAAGAACTGAGAAGGACTATCAATGCACAGAGTAGTTAAAAAATATGGCTATGTTCCCGTGTTCAAAAGTATTAGCCACTAATCTCTGCTGACACTGTGATACAAAACAACATTACAGTATTGTCTAGTTGAGAAATTGCTCTCCAAATACATAGTAGGACTTTATCTTGCCCTCTTCTTAAAGGTGAAAAAAAGGAATTATGGAACAAATTATTCTCCTTTTCTGGAAGTTGCCTAATACAGACTCAGGATCAGGTACACTGAATTCAATCAGTTTCAGGGAAAAAACTGGAATAAAATTATGCATAACAACAAACCCCTCATCATCTTGATGCAGGGTAAAAACCAAAATGGTTAATGGGACTTTCTCCAGGACCAAACAATAATCAGTTTTATCCTGAGGCTTTCCCATAGATATACATTATTGTGCATCAAGAAGATAAGAATCATGCCTTTTGGAGTAAGATCCTGCAGGTAATCAAAGCTCTCGACAGCAATGTTACATTTACTATTTTTGTTCTGCATTATCCACATCAGTTGCTCACGTTCCTGCATATTTCAGCTGTTCAGATAACAGAATGTGTATTTTACTAATACTATTTGATATAAAAAAACCCTTAGTAATTAGCAATCACGTAATGCATTTGGCCACTAGACAGCATGAACCTGAAAAAATAATTCCTACAGATGTACCGACATTCCATGATAAATTTAAGACTAGGCAAACTAGATTTAGCTCCTGTTTTAAAAGTACTTACTACAGGTAAGACAACACCTTTTTCTTTAAAGTAGGTATCAATATCTTGGTCATGTTGAGAGGTAGCACCATTTATACATATGTGCATGTATACACACTATCATATGCATATATATATTCAATATGCTTTGAAATATTTTCATTTATGTAAATTTAATTTGTATATTTAACCAAAACCCCAAAACAGACATCTGTGGGCAGATTTTTGGCAGGAAATAAATAGCTTCCAGGGTAACACATTAGAAATAAACACATATATAGCCAGCAAAGGTGAAGCTATCTTATTTAATAGCTTGCTTTGAGGTGCATTTAAACCTACTGTCTGTCATGAAGAAACTCAATACATCATCAAATGTGCCACTGCATTATCAAAAATGGCCAACTAGATGAAGCCACAATTGAAAAATAACTACATTTATTATTCTTTCTATATAAAATTCTTTTCATTAATGCTCAGTAACACGCATTTGGCAGCTGAACTTTTTTTTTTTAAGCAGCAGTTAACAATGCAATTCACAAAACAAAGATAAGCTCAATGGTTTCCAGGAAACTGAAAGATGAAAGAATGCAGAGAGAGTCAGACATGATTTTAAATGAAGAACAAGTGAACTAAGGTCAAACTAAAACCTAAAAGAAATTCAGCAAGAAACCAGATACGTTTCAGTTGGATTGAAATTTCACAATATATTTCAACAATGCATACAATACATTCTTTGGTACATTAATTCACTGGGGACAATTTTTTTTCAAAATAAAAGAGGAACTTAGATTCCAAAGCCCTTAGTTTCATTAATTCATGTAGAATATTTAACAGATTTTCTGGGTTTATATCGCATGTAAAGTAGGTTAAGGTTTTATCTTCCAGCTTTGTTTTGTGAGTTGACCCCCAGACTTAGTCTTACAGCATACATGAGGTAAACTGTAGTGGAAGAATCCATAAATGTTATAATTTCAGAAGCCCTCACCTACTAAATAGCCTCCTTCAGAAATATGATGAATGTATTCCTCCCCCTTGAAGAGAAGATCAGAGTAAAACTACTATTACATGAATAAATTTGAATAATTCATTTTGCAGTAGCAAAGAAACATAGCATTCAACTGTACACATAAAAAAATGCTAATAAAGTTACTTTTATACCTATAATGCAAGTTATTCCCCAACACAGAGCTAAATTCTGCCTAGTTAAACTCTCCACAATTTCCACATAGGAAGCAAAACCAAAAACAAATATTTTGTCTGAGGGATTTTTTAAAGGATACTTAAGGTAAGTTCTCTTTCAGACATTAAATTTGTAAAATACTGTGTTTTACAACTATCAAGCCCAGTATAACCCCGCATTCAGAAACAGAATTCCAAACTGCTGGCAAACCACTTTCTCTACTCAGAGCAGAGAATTTATTTATAATTTTACACAGCAAATTATAGTGGTTGAGGAAAGAGTAAAGGAGAAATTGAAATGCAGTGTGAATTTGAAAAACACGGATTTTAAATAGACAATTTTAAAGAAAGATAGAAGAATAACAATGTTAAAAGCTGCACACCTGGACTCTTGCCAAAAGAGTCAATCTCTCACAACCTGTATTTTATAACGCAGGAATGACAACTTTTTTTACCAGTCAAAATATCCCCTAGAACCATGCCTACGCATTCCTTCTCTGACATACAGTGAAGAGTGCCACCTATTGAATAAAAAACAGTATTTCCAGAAATAATTAAATTATTCTGGAAACATGCCATCTGTGTACTCCATCAAGCTAAGCATTCAGTTTAGCTTTTCATCATGCAGTTTCCCGGCAGAGAGCAGTTTTGCCAAAATATAACTTTGGTATACAAACAAGGTGCCCCATCAACACTGCATAAGTTATCTGATTTAAGAAAAAAATTATTCAATTATGTGTGCTGCATTTAATAAAAAAAGAAAAGCAGTCTCTTCTAAGGCTGTTCTTTGTTCACACAAAAAAGTGTACATTTTTAATATATTTTACTGTACTGTATTAGAAGGAAAAAACTACTTTCTTTCAGACTTGAACACTTTATTTGCACTGACTACCAAAGTACCTTGCAATGACCTAAAACAAATATTTCATATCCATATACCATGATCTCAGTAATACTACAGAGCAGCAACTGCTAAGAAGACACAGTGTGCCCCCCTGAAGAAGCCTTACCAGGTGCTGCATAGCACACAGCAAGGCTAATCTGGCCATGAGTTACACATTGGTATAGGTAACATTCTATATTTATAAACACTGTAAATCAGCATTACAGTCTATCAATTGAGAGCTTTAAATACCCACAATCTAGTCAAAGAAAAATGTGTGGTATGTTGCAAGAGTCTGCTGTAATATGATACCGAACAAAACTGCTATAACCCAACCAAGACTTGGAACTGACCCATTTATATACAAAACATTTGAATGAGTCAGCAGCCCACTGCATTTCCCAGGCCTGCTGTAGACTATCATACAATTCCCAGACGTACTTCCTCAGATTGTGCTTGTCTCATGAACAAGGTCAGTAGTGACAAAAAGTGATATAAAGGTCAATGGCTAGGAAAATATGACAATACACAGACTTATTTTATCTGTTTACCCATTAACCTATTCAATATACTGAAGTTCACAGAATTCCTCTATTTTACTTGTCTCCCGTCTTTTAACTGTTTAATATAATAGAGCAGTGTATTAAAAAAAAGTTCTACTATTGTTTTGGTCTGTGAACAGATAAGAATTAAATATGCTGCCTTACTGTAGTCAGACAAGTGAACAGCCTCTAAAACAATCACTGTTTCCTTTTCTGAAGTCTTTGTTCCCATACTCCATAGATACTCCAGCACTGCCAGAATAAACTTTGCTTATGTAGAGTGGCTGAAGTTTTTGCAACTAGAGCAACAGTGCTACTGGTAATTGAGATTATACCACTGCAGTTATGCTGCTACCTGAATCACAAAGCTTTTGATCTGCACTGGGGATCCCTTTCTGAGGGTGATAAAAGATAACTGGAACAGTACTTGTCCTAACTGATTATTGCAGGGAGTAAACCTACTGCTGAATAAAGACCTCCACAAGCCAAAGTTAAGGTAGATGGATTTTTGATCTGAAGAAACAAACTCATATATTGATGTTTTTATGACTACGTGAAAAACACTAAAATCAGCTACAAACAAGAAACAAATTTCTACAATGCACAACCATTAAAAAATACTATTTTTACTTCAATCTAATGATAATAAAGAAATATTACCACAATAACTTAGTGTATACAACATTTCCATCAGACTTGGTCCTTCAAAGAACACCTAAGTATATGAGACATTAAAAAACCCTTCTAGGATGTCTATGCTATCCACCTTGGGGAAGGAAGAGAGGAGAATAGTATCTTTCACTTTGAAAGACACTACGTTAATGGTAAGCACGCATTACAACTAAAAAATGTATTTCCCAGATTAAGAAAAATTATTTGAAACTTGTTTGCATATTTCTTTGGGGATTCCTCCAGAAATTTACATAAGGTTGCAAAATTTGACTTTATTTTAAGACGGATGGAATGATAAACTCCAAAGTTTTCAGACTGAGGGAAAGAAAAATCCAACCAAAATAGGACACTTACAAGATTTCTCTCTAGAGATTCCAGCTTATGATCTATTTCTTTCAGACGATTCTGTTGATCACGTTTTTCCTTATTGTCCCGCAGAACCTTTTCACCTGGAACTGTTTCTAGGCTTCTGTTGGCATAAACCAGAGACTCCTGGTAAAAGAAAGAACAGATGGAAGTTAAACACATGACTTTATACTGCTTCATAGCCAGCTGGGTGTTCTTTTGATTTCTACTAGGAAACACAGAAATGTGTCAATGTCAAATTCTGCATATGCATAATTTTCATTATGCATATTTTCAAATACAATAGCTAAATATCAGGCTGGACATATTTCAGTAAAAGAATTCTTCCCCTTTGCATTTTAAGAGGAATTTCTTAGTCTCCAGAGCTAATACTTTGATGCTTAATTTCTACCACAACAATAAAAATGCACTGAGACTAGGGGAGACAGAATGACTGATTCAAAGTTTGCTCTTATTAACCATACTGGGATCAGAATTAAGCCAGAAAGGAAAGGAAGAATGGAGCTGAAATGATGATAGCTTTTGTTTACTAGATATCACGGTAAATAAGAAATAATCCTCTCTCTGTAAGTTGTAGTTAGTTGCCCAACCATTATTAAAGATTCAGATTACACACTCTCACATCCTTCAGTAGTTTTGAATTGGACCCTGAAGTCCCAAATATATTCAAGGTTCAATATTACACGTAACTCGCTTCATTAAGATCGACAAGTATTGGCAAAACTGCAGTTATGTTGTGATTGGGAAAAAACAGAGCTTTCTCTTGCAAACCAAAGATTCTGTAGAAGAATTCAAGGGATACAAATAACAGCAGAGGGGAAAAAAAACAAGCAAAATACCCTCCATCCAACTTGATAGTCAATTCAAACCAAAGAAGAATCAGCAGCCATATAATAAAACCATACTCTATTCGTTCTTATTTTCAGAAGCAGCTCAAGGAATCTTAATAGACACACACAAGGAAAATAATTCCAAGTAGCATGTCTAATTGGAAAGAAAAACAACCTTTGCAATTCAACATTCAACACAAAATTTCTCAACTACAATATACAAAAGACTATATCTGTAAACAACTTCTAAACATCTAGCAAATCTATGAGTTCTGACATTTAAATCAAACTACTAGCTGCTTGAAAATAAACTTAACACAGTACAAATCTTACTTACAATCAGCAATAGTTGGCAGTACTCCAATGACAGTAAATCTTCCCATAACAGACAGTCACAATTTCTGTTTCATTCTGTATTGCTTTCATAATTATTCCTAATAATCTATTTGAATATTTGACTACTATGGAACATTAACCTGCTGCTTTCACAGAAGTAGTTGTCACAGTTTCATTTCTCTCATCCCTGAATAGCAACTGATCAGAATTCACACAATATAAGTAAAGTTAAGGTTTTTCTCACTTAGTAATATTTTTGTATTTTTCTCAAGATACCATAGAATAAATGCAGAAAGTATTATATCAAGGAAAACATTTTATTGTCTATGTTTCAAATACTTCAAATATTTCAATACTTCATTATTTTATGTTTCGATTATATAGCACGTGTACATAGTGAAAGTCCATTTGAGATTACCTCATATGATTTTTAGATCTGTAGATAATAAGTGTTAAATATGTTTACATAAGACAAAATACAACTATTTAGCAACAGACAAAGCTGTAACAAATATAATGCAAGAGTATTTGAAATGTCTAAAATTATTCATTGCATTCCCTTTTCTCCAAAATTCTATAAATAAATAATAACAAAATCCCTCTTAATGAAATATATTAGTGTCATACAATCTTCCTGAGGCATAAAACTGGCTGATCAGCTTATCAACCTGCTTCTAACCATGCCCTGAAACAGATACATCCATGAAAATCATTTGCTTTGGTGAAGTGGAGGCAAAGAGCATAGGCTATCAGAGTTCATTAATTGAAAAATTAGTGTATATTCTAAAGTTTTTAATAATTTTGAATACTTATTTAGTTTTAAATTGTTAACTATAGTCTACTTCCATAATTGAAAAAGGGAATATTTTTTGGATAAAAAATCCCAAACATGTATGAAAGAACTCCTCAAGGCAATACAATGTTGATTACCTTATCTTTTAAGATAACCAAGCAAACAGAAATTATTGTTTCTTTACAATTAATGCCATTTATTAAAGATTTCAGAGTCACAGCATGGTTCCTATATCCTGTCAAAGTATCCATCAGTGTCAGAAAGCAGATCTCTCACAGAGGTGGTGGTGATTAAGTGTTTCCATTTTGAAAGTTGTATCTAGTGCAATTCTTGGAAGAAAAGAGCGTGCAGCTTTATAATATGCAACTCTAAGCTAATTCTGTTTTAATTACTTCTAAAATTCGAAATGAAAATCCCTTTTATATGCTGCAAAACAAAGTTCAAGGGCAACTGTTTTTCACAAATGAGAGGTAACATAAGGAATTAACTACTTCTTTTGGGGTTTTAGGTTTAATATTATTCAAAAAAGATAATACTTTACTGTTCAATCAGCATACACCTAAATGCCAGTTTCTATTCAAATACTTCTGAGCTATTACCTGAAAGAAAGCAACAACAACCACTTGAACAAACATTCCCAAACAGAGAGTTCATTATCACAGGCAGTTGCATTAACTTCAAGCTGATGTCTCGTAACACTGAACACAAGATCAGGTAATCATTGGCAAGTTCAGGTCCATGAAACTGAATTTACTGGGTAACAACTGCATTTGCATAAGCCATTACCAACTATAGGGAGGTGCTCTTTCACACATTAAATCCCAGTTGGTAAATGATCAACGTCAAAATGTTACTCCTCTAGAACTGAGCTACAGAAGATACCACTAGAGGTAAAACAAAGCCTCATGTTCAGAAATAAGTCAATACAAAAATTACATTAAAGTGACCTTAGAAAAAGAGGGGGGAAAAAATCTCCACAGGTATTTTAGCCTTTTAAAGAAATGTTTCTCATACACTGATAACTGTCTCTGATATACCAGTTCTGGCCATAGAATGTAAATATTACAGAAGTAAACAAGCTTTGTGCAAAATAAGAATTATGTTTTTTTATTTTATGCCCCATTATAGTAGAGGCAATACTACTGGGGTATGGGATAAACTGGAGTCTTCTAAGCACAAAATTCAAACAATCACTTCCCAAGGCTGAGACCTTGATTCTTAATCTTCATGGGTTCTTAATATTGTTGGCAAGGGAAAAAGATGAAGGCCACTAAAAAGAAGGGGCATACGATTCCAATCTATTTTCTAAAGTCATTGCTTTATCTTTCTGATCACAAGTGAAGAGGCACTTTTGGAATCCTGAGATAAGAAGAAACCTAATTTTTATTCCCAAAGATGAACTTTCATCTGGTACTATGTTGAAAAAAACCACTGGGACTTTCATGCAGCTAAAAATGTCTGTTACCAACTCCTGAACATAAAAATTTTTAAAAGTGTGGAATCAAAAATGCTGAAAAACAAGACAGTCCTTGAATTACATACCACTCAAAATAGCAACAAATTATTTTTCCATAGCCAAAATTTTTCACTTCATTCCTTAACACATATACTGGGAGAACAAACAGAAGATACTAAAGAAAAATGAAAAAGATACAAATACAGACAGACATATGCTCTATTGATCTCAATGTACACTTCAAACAAAAAATGTGCAGCACAAGCTCTGTTCTGTAACCTACCTGACAAATCTGGCTTGGAGGTTTTGAGAAAGAGCTGGAAATTGCAGAAAAATCCCCATCAGACAGTAGTGCTTGAAGTTTAATGTCTATTTCATTTAGGAGATGAAATTCCGTGGGTTCAGGTGTGTACCCTTCTCCTGGTGCTAGCCAGACAGATACATTCTCCTATTGAAAAGTACAGAAAATACTTAAACCTCATTCCCAAGGGAAAAAGATCTTAAAGTTACACATCAAGTGCATTTATTTTTCAAATGAGCATACTTAAGAGTAAAATGTACATTTTCACCCATCTCACTATATAGCTGAAATCTCCCAAATATTCACGTACCTAGCACACTCAAAAGCAGATATGGACAGAACAAGTATAGGCATACATTTTTCATTTTAAAATATAACCAAGCAGCAAGTTAATATATATATAATTTTATTTTTAGAAAGCACATACATCTATATGCATTGTTAAAATCTAATAGCAAAAAATGTGCCGTGCTAACCTAAACAGACTTTTGCTACTATTATACTTATTTCTATCAAAGTCCAAAGCCTGTTTCCTCAACAGACTAGCTGCTCAAAAGCCCTAAAATAAAATTGCTTAAAGCCAGATGCTTTGCCTTCATGCCAGCTGGCAAAAAAACAATCAGACAGCTCCCAGGTTCCCCCTCCATTCTTCTCAAGTTTATACAACTACCTTGATCAAGTTCTTGTACAGCCAAAAGAAGCTCTTTGGATAGCCAATCCCTTTTTCTTAACCATACATCTCACTTAATAGCCTCTTAGCCAAGTTAGTCAAACCTTTAAAACAGTTTCATGCCATGCCAACCACAGCTCCCTTCCACAGATGCATACTCTTCCCCTGTTGTGGTTTATATATTTGTTCAACATGGCAGACTCAGTTCCCTTTTGAAGCAATAATTTCTTGTCATTGCCTAACTTGCACAAACATCTTGCTGTTCAGTGCTGCACAGTAACCATCACTTTCTGAAGCCACCGACGTGAAAATCAATTTAGAAGTGTTTGTAAGATATTGCAGAGGATAGAGATGAAGAGGAAAGTGTCTGGCAGATTTAAGACCCACCAGTCCTAAAAGAGCAAACATAAAGAACATGCTATAAGCTCACATTTTCAATGCTAATGTTGAAATGGAAAAGCACAGCCCTCAGAATCTGCACTAGGAGTTTCCTCAACATCACCCTAAATCACTTCTGTTATGTCAAGCATCTCAGCACTTCTTGCTTGCATGCTTATTATTTTACAGACTAAGTACAAGGAACAGCACAGAGAGCTGACCACATAACTGAAACAGCAAGGTATTTTTTGTTTTTAAAAAAGACAAATGAAAGTCCACAGGCATAATGAGATGTTCTTATCTACACCAAACACATCTTCTCAAAGAACCCCAATAAACTTGCATCTCAAAGTCTGGTGGCAAACGCAGAGACACATCTATTCTGCTACATATGCAAACACACCTTCACAGCAGCACTTTAGAAATCCAAATAAAATGGAACATAATACACTACTCTCTATTGTCCTCTGAAGGAAGTGGAAGCAACAGACCCCTCTGCAAGTCAAAGAAGGAAATACAATCAGCAGCTATGTCTAATAGGACAACTACTTTCCATCTGATAAAGGAACCAAAAAGAGAGAAAGTCTGACCAAAACTAGGCTTGGAATGGAACTGCAGAGATTGATGCTATGGCAGAAACCACCCAGAGCCAAATTTCAGAGGAAGGGTATGAGATGTAACATGACACTTGCAGCACATCACCAAAGAAGGAAACACAGCATCCATAGGAAATCAAAGCAATTGCTCTGAGGTCAGTAGCTGCTTCTAGAGGCCCAGAAAGACTGGGAGAGACAGAAAGCAGAGAGTTCTTTTTCCTGATTATGATTTACATGACTTTTTCCTCTTGATAGCAGTAACATCTGAATAACAAATATGAATATATATTCCTACTACAGACAATTGCATAATGTGAGTGAGCTTGGCCTACTTAACCCAAGTAAATGAGCTCATACTCACAGATAGATGCAGGTTCTCCACAGCAACTTGGCACTCCTGCCTCAACACTCAAGGAAGGAAGTATGCACAACCACCATTCAATGGGCATGACAGTAGCAGATTACATCTCTGTCCTCACCACAATGAAACAGCAGATAAGACCGTAGAAGAGCAGGGATGTGAGGAAGGACATGAGTGTATTACTGATTTCCTTTCTTGTTCCTACCCAGAATAGGGCAAGCACCTTGCCCTAAGACTCTAACATCTGTTTTGCAAAGAATTCATGTCCACTATTCTGTTACAGCTTCCAGATTAGTCCTTTGGCCATTCAAGCAGTTGCATCCATACAAGAGGAGGAAATATCAGCTTCCAACTTCAATACCATTGCTATGAGGTCATTTGTGGTTCATTCCCACTACCCTAAAGCACACTAGTTTCAAAAAGAAAAAAGCATACTCCAAACACTTGTCATAAATTGCCTCCATAATAAATTAAAAAAGCAAAAGGAAAAAAAATAGTCAAGAGAGAGTCATCCTTTCTGTGAAACAAAATCAGTTCTAATGCTTTCTCATATAAGTATGATGAGAGACAACCAGTAAGCCTGACGGACCCGACCTGATTCTAAAAGAGCCACTCATAAATGTCTTAGATACTTCCCAGCTTTCTGGAAACATCTGTTCAGGTGGGACAGTGATCATCAAAACATAACTATCCAGCATGGTTCTACATTTGTGTCACACTAACCACCCCCTAATCAGAGAATGAAGATCACAGTGCAAATACACAGAAATTACTCTACAGGAGTCCATTAAGATGCAACTGGACTCATTAGCTACAGCTCAGTGTCTATATCCCATGCTCCAAATATCCAAATTACAGCAGTAGTCACTTTACTTTAGGGTGAAATGGACTCACACATTCTCTTTTGTATTTTTAAGATGGTTTTGCTTGGAAAATAAGCTTCTGTCCTGTCAATGTTTCCTGTGTGTTAACTCAGAACAATACTTTTATAACAGCACAGTCAGTGCTTACTGTGGAACATCTGAAACAAATTATACCCCTGCACTTTCAGCTTTGACAATTAGATTAGCATGAATATGTACTTGTAAAATATTTTAAAAACTCAGAAAACACCTTTTCAAAAAGTGAGAAGTGCTGTTCGGATATCTGACATATTTAGTAGTATAAGTCCAGTGAAGTTATCTAATCCACATTACACTATACAGAGGAATTCATACAGCATAGCCAGATCTGCCTTGACTGAGAGCCTCCAAAACATTACTTTAGCCTATGTGATTGCACCAGCTTTTTAAAAGTCAGAATAAAATAAGATGAAAAAGGCCATCAGTTGGACAATTACCTGGGCCAGCTTGAAGCTGTCTAGATTACTCACTAGCTGATAATTTCCTCATGATCTTTGTTACAAAGCAGCTATAGGAAACACCTCACCCATAATAAAATTGAAATATAGGAGAGGAAGAATCACCAGACTAGACAGGTTTAAGTAACTGTTATCCTTTCTTTTATTCCATTTTGATAGTAGAGTTAGGAGCTTTTTTCTTTGAAGAGATGATCTAGTACAGACTAGAGTAACCCACAAATTACCATTCTTGTCCATGGTATAAGAAACATACAGCAACAACACACATGTCCTGTGAGGCAATCTACTTAATAGTAGATATTAATAGTAAAATATCTATAGATACATGCCAACATGATAGTGACATGTGCCAAATACAAAATGTGGGTAAAGGTTACACTTTCCCTTGCCTTGATGCCTCGATGCTTTGAGAATTGGTGCAAAAAAAGGTACACGTTAGTCAGAATTTGCATTAGCTGTTCTGCATAACTGTCTCTGAATTTTGTGAAGGACACCAGCTTAAAGAAAAAGAAAACCTAATAACTACGCATTTTGAGAAAATACTTTCGCAATTAGTAAAATAAATTATACTAAAAAGGCCACTATTCCCTAGGTCAGAAAACTATGTTTACTAACATAAGGCTGTTTAAAACATCTTCAGATCTTTAAATGCTGACATTTATCAAATGGAGAACCATCTCCTCAAATTGAAACATGACCTTGATCAGGAAAGAACAGAAGAGACAGCGTCTTCAATCAAACACTGACCTTTCCAACAAGAGGAGAAAAACAAAAACATATCCCCCACAATCCTCTCCCTCCAGTTTCTTCCTATTCAAAGTTCAATTTCAGCTGAACATTTTGTCACCCTTACATGGGTTTGCAATGCCAGGTCTGCTGCAAGCAGATCCAATAGAATACCTTCAATCTTTTCATAAATGCACAGATAAAAGATTAAATAATGATCCAGTGAGCTTTAATTTTGTTCTTCTAATATGCAACAAATTAAAAGTAAAATAAGAATCAACTCTCCTAACCACAGCTCAACTTTAGGCCAAAGAACTTCCATTCCATTTTTTTAATGCTAAACTATGTCAGCTAAGTCAAATACCTCTGTGCAACATTATTAATTGATGAGTATTTTACACAGATAAAAAATTCAATCAGCAAGCTCAGTGTTCATGTTCAAAAAAATTATATTAGCATCCTATGTAAAGCGAGGGAACAAATGTCAGGTAAACAGGAAGACTGCTGTAATTTTACAGAACTTGAAGATTTTCATCTGATGAACACAAGTGCTGAGTGTGGCTGATAGTTTTAAACCTTTGTACATGAACAATCAACGATCAGCAAAGGATACGTTATCTGTGCTGCTACTTTATCTTACTGTGAAAGAACAATTACTGTTAAAATACTGCACATTTATACAATCTTAATCATTTGTCCATCAGGTTTTCCTGACTGATACGGACTCCTTCACTTATATTTGCCCCACAAAGCTCTGAAAATGCCAAAACACAGTGTATACTTACTAGTTTCCCTAGAGCAAAAAGACCCAATGACCGTCAACCCAGAAATCAGACTGAAACTGGGTAAATTAGAGATCTGTTTAATGTCACAAACCATGGGTAGGCTAGTCCTCTGTTTCCATAACCAGTTTGGATTCAGATGGAAAAAACAATAAGCTCATCTCCTTACCCCATATCCTGAAACAGTAATTTATAAAGATGTATTTTAGATATGTTTTAGAAAAGAGTAATGAATTGGATGTCTTCACGACCTTATTAGAATATAAATAGAACTAAAACATGGGAAGAAACAATTAAAAAATAATACTATTGCATTTGTTTTTGTTTCTCTCACATCTAAGTTGTTACGTAACCTTCTGAAAAATAATTTACTCCAGATCATTTTTAGCTGTATAAATTAAACAGAAAGTGGACCTTGGATATATTTTGTTCATCTATGCAGAATTCACATCTTTCTCCTTAGATACCGTTATTCAATGTATACTTACAAATGTAGTGAAGAAGCTCAAACCATTACTGTAGACTCAACATAATGTAATTTTTAATGTAAAGTAAATTAGAAAAGCCACCTAATTTCTTTACACAAAGCATTTTTTCAACATATCTTTTTACTTACTAAAATGCAAGTTTCTTGAAGAGTTATATCAAGTTTATATTGTTTGAGGATGTTCATTCTATAAAAACATGTATCTTTAGCATATCTGATACCATCTATAGTTGAAAAGTACTGTAAGTTCCTAGTATGATTCATTTTTCAAATGAAATTTTATCTTTCCATCCTAGTAGCTTTTGTAAAACAATAGAGCCTCCAAGAACATCTTCACTGTGATATTCCCCTCAAAGCAGTAAGAAATAAAGATGATCTCCAAGTAGCTGGGAGATCAAAAGATTATTTGATGTCTTCACATTACTGGGAATCATTTTAGTGCTCAGACTCTCCTAGAAGCAGTGATTGCTGGGACAATCAAATATTCTTTTTTACTATCTGTGAGGAAATGTATTTTTACCTACTTCAGCTCCTGCTGCAGTATGCAGACTGTACACTCTTTAACAATATTATATTAAAGCATAAATGTCTAATACTTAAGCAGACTTTGTCCACTCTGTATACTTTTAAGACAGAGTTGGAAGCCACAGAAAGATGTCATGTTATCTTTCTAAATGGACATGTAAGCTTCATCAATGCATACTTCCTCAATTGCTGCATTTTTAAGGTCATGTCCTTAAAAAACTCTCATTGGGAGTTTTCTGAAAATAGTTGCTGGCCCTTCTGCCTGAGACTACAGCACCAGCCATTCAGATTGATACGCTGCAACTTCACACTTTATGCAGAATAAATAGGTCATCTACTCCGAGTGTAGTTCTAAGGCTCCTTCTACCTGTGCCTAACTTTTCTTTTAAGTTCTGCAGTTAGTAGAATTAACAAAGAAACCAATGCAAATTCATTCCTGGAGACAAATCCAAAAGGATTTGTCCAGCTTTTCTCTCCTATCTCAGTAGGGTACTCCGTGGTAGGACTAAGATCAGTTTTAGATTTACTGTAAAAATAAGCTAAATACAACAGGACAGATTAAAGTTTTCATACCTCAAGACCTCGCAATTCAATTCCATCCTCTGTATCTTTCAATAGTTCAATAAGCCTTTTCCTTTCTCCCTCAAGCATAACAATTTGGTTTCCTGAATCCTTTGCTAGCTGAAATATTTACAAAAACAAAAAAATAAACACACTTTAGAACTCCATTAGCTCAAACACCATCAAAACAAAGTTTTTAAACTCTGTGAAATTAACATCCAAAACTTGCTTATTGCTATAATACAAATTATCACTGACAGAAAAATATAGCAGTCTACATATAATAAATTTATAACCTTGTAAGTCTGTGACATAGCAGGGAGGCTACGTCACATAGTAGGTCTTCAAAGGAAAAAAAGCACAAAAATTGGGGGATGCATTTTCTGACAAAAAGAGGTCCCATGCACGCTATACATAGAATCATAGAATCAGCCAGGTTGGAAGGGACCTCCGAGATCATCAAGTCCAACCCTTGATCCACTACCACTGCGGTTGCTAGACCATGGCACTAAGTGCAACATCCAGTCTCTTCTTAAAAACCTCTAGGGACGGAGAAGCCACCACTTCCCTGGGCAGCCCATTCCAATGGCTGATTACCCTCTCTGTAAAGAAATTCTTTCTAATATCTAACCTAAACCTCCCCTGGCACAACTTGAGACCATGCCCTCTTGTCTTGCTGATAGTTGCCTGGGAGAAGAGACCAACCCCCACCTGGCTACAACCTCCTTTCAGGGAGTTGTAGACAATGATGAGGTCTCCCCTGAGCCTCCTCTTCTCCAGGCTGAACAACCCCAGCTCCCTCAGCCTCTCTCATAGGTCTTGTGCTTGAGTTCCTTCACCAACCTTGTTGCTCTTCTCTGGACCTGCTCCAGGACCTCAATATCCTTCCTGAACTGAGGGGCCCAGAACTGGACACAGTACTCCAGGTGTGGCCTCACCAGCCCCGAGTACAGGGGAAGAATCACTTCCTTGGACCTGTTGGCCACACTGTTCCTGATCCAGGCCAGGATGCCATTGGCCTTCTTGGCCACCTGGGCACACTGCTGGCTCAGGTTCAGCTTCCTGTCAATCCAAACTCCCAGGTCCCTCTCTGTCTGGCTGCTCTCCAGCCACTCTGTCCCCAGCCTGTAGCGCTGCAGGGGGTTGTTGTGGCCAAGGTGCAGGACCCGGCACTTGGCCTTGTTGAACCTCATCCCACTGGAATCAGCCCAACTCTCCAACCTATCCAGGTCCCCCTGCAGAGCCCTCCTGCCTTCCAGCTGATTGACACTCCCCCCCAACTTAGTGTCATCTGCAAATTTGCTGATGGTGGACTCAATCCCCTCATCTAAATCATCGATAAAGATATTAAACAGGACTGGGCCCAGTACTGATCCTTGGGGGACACCACTAGTGACTGGCTGCCAACTGGATGCAGCCCCGTTCACCAGCACTCTCTGGGCCCGGCCCTCCAGCCAGTTCCTAACCCAGCACATGAACAACCTGTATATCTATTCCTTATCTATGAATAAGGACATCTTCCTTTAACTTAACAGTAAATCTAAGTCTTAGGAAATATTTGTCCTTAAAACAACCTATGGTCAGGCACAAACAGAACAATTCAGTTTCCAGTACTCTTCAGCAAATACACAGAAGCAGTATTATCCTCACCAATATGATCATCCAAGATGAGATCTACCTTATATAGTACTCTGCCATAAATAACAGTTCTAAGAGAAAGGTTTTTAATTTATGTCTAATTAGCTTTTAATGTTCCTGATTTAAAAACACTGTCTCCAGAAGTACTTATAGACCAATATTTAGCTAACATTTAACAAAATGTAAATGATTTGACACTTTAATGCTTACCTCAATGTTCTTTTTAATGAAATCCTGGTTGCTTTTATTTTTGCTATGTGTTTTCTCTGCTGTTTTTTCTAATTCTGTTTCTAATTCATTTGGATATCCTGAAGTTTGAGGAAGAAAATTTTCTAAGTTATAATCATTCCTATTCTGGTTCAGTAAGAGCTGTAATAACAGCAATCCCATTTAAATCTTTAGCAAACATATAAAGTTTATAGACAAACTTTTTGTATGGTGTTTTCATTATTTACATAAACAATACGGTTATATTTAAAACATACCTATTGTCAAAATCTATTTTCATTTTTAACTTTTTATTATATGAGATCATTCAATGTTATAAAGGCTAAAATACTTTTGGATTTTTGACCTCAAAAATGTTAAACATGGTAGCCTTAAAAGCCACGGCATTCCTTCAAACCCTATCATCACTGCAGTTTTCTCATCAGGAAAAAAACAGACAATAATTTTTTGAAAACCACAGAACTATTTGGAGACATATCAAGTACATTTTTCTAAATAAAACAGCTGAAAAACAGATGATATAGTTGATATTATTATAACAGCTTATAAAACAAATTTTGTTAAAAAATAAAGCTCATCATAGAGCTGTCAATCTATTAAACAGACACATGATATTCTAATAACAATGGGTTCTATCCATCACAAAAACGTGGGCATGTATTCTGTTTTTCAGAGACTTTTATGAGGCTTAAAATAACAATTCCTTTATGAACAGCAAATATTTATCACATTAAATAACAAGCCTAAGCAAATACAATCAACTTCTAAATCTCAAGAACTACTTCAAAATTAGTCATGGTATTTTTGCTTTTCTGGAAAGTAGAGATTTGAAAAATGAGTCGCCTCTTTGCCTTCAAAAAACTAAATTTGACATGTTAGATAATAGAAGACAGGCTATGGAAGTTTACACGGAAGTAGACTTTTTTCAGAGTGAAAAGATTGAAAGTAAACTCTCAAAAATATGAAATAAATTCCATGCATCCTTCTACACAAAAACCTTAAAGGACTGAAGTGTTGGATCTGACCAAGAAAACCTGTCACAGTTCAAATGCACAACTGTCTACTGAAAGCATCCCAAACTTTAACATTACCAGGCAACACCTTGAATCTGTCAAGAAACCGGATCATACAAGAACTTACCAATCAATATAAACAAGAGATGTCGCATTCTGAAATAAGCAGAATACACCAAACACCAACATAACAGCAAGATATACATTACTTTTAAACTATATCTTTCTCTTACTGTAGATAGCATTTTTGAGAGGGAACTACATACAGAACATCTCAGAACATTCAAGTAAAGAATGGACAGACAGGATCACTGAGACAAAGAAAACACTGAAGATTGACATGGGTAAGTAAAAGAGAGATTGCAGCTCAACAAATTTTGCATATGAGTTTTGGTAGATTTGGTTCAAATTTCAAAGATTTGGTACCAATCTCAATGAGACTGCTGAAGCAATAATATCAAACTAACGCATACATTCTTCTTCCCAAGTTAAGCTCCTCTTGTTCAGGGTCTGCCTTTATGACAGCTGTGACACAGAACTCCAAAAGCAACCAAAACAGCAAATCTTAGCTATTCAGATACCACATCACGAGCCTCCAGAAGAAATAGTAAAAGTCATTTAAGCAATGTATTGCCCACAAGCTGTAAGTGATCTCTACTTCACACGTTCCCAAATTAGGAGCATGCAGAACATCTCAAAATAGAGCAAGAGATCGCAACTCCCAACCACCCCTGTGTACTGGAAGCTTGAGAAGTCACTGCTGTCCTGAATATTGGTAATGAAACCTATGTTGCTATTCAGTGGCACTCCAGCACAACTCAGAAATCTTGAAGGTGGAAGTTTCATTTTAAGGGAAGAATGAAGACACATGATAGGAATAGAGAGAAATGAAAAGCACAGCACTGCTCCAGCCCACAAAGTTAAGGTTGCATATTGGTGGACTAAGTGATAAAATAAGGTCCATGTTCAAAAACTAAAACATGCAGCCACATTCTACAAACTGCAGAGATTTTGATGCCATCAATGGTTCAGCCTTGAGGAACGCACGTTTATTATGTCCTTGTCATCTTAGCCAGTCACCAGGAAGACAGAGTCCTTCTGTTTACATAGAATGGTAAATGACAAAGAAATAAAAAATTGCAGGTGATAGCAATGGCAGCCAAAGCTGTTTTTCATGTGTCACAACACATGGGAAAACTTACTCAACCACGCAAATTCGAATTTCAAATGGGGAAACAACAGAGGCATAAAGGTGCAATTCCATTTATTTTCAAGTGTTGGACACACTACAATACTACCAGCATTTTAAATGTCTATACAGTGCACATTAACAAATGATCTCTAAAAGAATCAGCAGGTGTTTGAGTTTTGCCAGAAAGTACTTAATCCATAAAAGCAATGCAGACTTTACAATAATCAGCATAACAAAATATAAAATAAGTTCTCTGAACATTTATATTTGTCACAAATCCATACAATTTCTGCTGAAAAAAACCCCAAAACAGAATAGTTGCAACTATATACAGCACCACTCATCATTTTTAGATGGTTTCTTGAATATAAGCCTACTAATTAAAGTTATGATACCCTAGAGTAACAGCAAAGACAATATTTTAAAGAATTTCCATGAAGAACCAATGATACATTTTAGCATATATCAGTTACACACCTTTTCATTTTGAAATGAAAGGCAAATGGTTTTATAAACCCAAAAGTAAAAATTTTCTTAGCATGTTGAGTAAAATGTTTTAGATAAGTCACAAAACTATTCTCTTTTATCATTTGCTAAAAAAGTCAGAACTACTGCCTTTCCAGTAAGGAACCTTGCTTTTTACCATTTCATTGGCCTATCCACAAAGGCCGAGTCTTCATTACCCACCCACTTCATGTTGTTTTGTCATATCCAAAAATGCAAACTGTACAATTAATAAAGCTTACCCTTGCTTTGTTGGGCTTGATGACAATCATAATCTTCTGGATTCATTTGTGTGTGAATTACTGAAGTACATATTTCATTTTCTTTAGTATGGGAGGGATCTGCAAGGAATTTTTTCAGTAAAATTTAACTGAAGTGCATCTAAAGAAGATCTAGCTTCATGTGCATCGTGCTGTATCTCACACATGAAAGTTAAAGAAATTCACTTGGATAAATTACATAAACACCTTACTTCTCAAGAAATAAAGAAGGGGGAAAGTGTAAGATGTGACTCATGAATAAGTATGCTGTTTCATAATTTTGTTTTTAACAACTACTGCCCATAGAGGACAAATAATCACATTCTCAAAGCCATATCCCAAGGCCCTGAAGTTCAAATGCCTCTGCAGACACCATGTGGCGAATCATCTAGAAATTTGAATGAAAATGAAGTATCCAGGTTTTCACAGCTGGTGTCTGCCTATGCATGAATTATTAGACTTCCAAGTGGCTTAGGTCAAGGGTATAGTCTAGAAAAACAGCACCCTACTTGTTTCAGCCACACAAAGAAAAGAAATCATAGTATTGACATGTATCGACTAGAAATATAGCAGTAACTTGTAGTCTATACACCTAGCACTTACAGAAAAGAACTCATATTGCAAAGAAACACTTGAATTACGTGTTTTTCACAAGGAAAAAAACAAACAATATCCAGTATTAGAAAGTCCAATGGACTCAAAAGTATGATTTTGATATACAGACCACTGGGTAATGAATTTAAGGCCATTTAATTAACTTCCGATTTACATTTCTGCTGTGAGTGTGCCACAGGGTTTTGTTGTCCCTGACAGGCTGGGACACTTAAGTTATCAACAATTTTATACCTGGAACTTGTGTTTGATTTCACAGCCACATTAAAAGCTATCATTAAATAGCTCCCCTACGTAATTTACTCAATAAAGCTCTATCAAATTCAAGTTCTGAAAAGCAAAATATATGAACTGTGTTCCATTTCAGTATCAACAAATGCAGCTATGAGGGCACTCATCTAAATAAATAAATACATAAATAAATAAATAAGACCTTGAAAGTAAGGCACTAGCATATTACAAAAACTTAAGATAAAGATCAAGCTAGAGGAAAAATATAAATCTAAACTATGCAGAGTTTTGTCAGTAAAGTACACCAGAAAACATATGATGCAGGAGTAACCTTTGAAAAGAAGGTTTGTTAGCAGTCTTTCTTGTCTACTGTTTTTTTAATATAGCCTGACATCTACTGGAGACTTTCTAAATACCACCTGTATCAAATTCTGTTTTGTTCCCTTAATAACCCAAACATTAGCACAGAAATAAAACCAGGTTACTTGCAATAGTAAGTTTTGCTGAAATGTTTTAATTACATATTGCTACCATTTTTATGCATGTACGTCCAACATTCAAGCTGAGACTTCTGCTCATTTATAACCATTCAGACCTCAAATCTTTGTTCTCTCCCCAACAAGGAAAAAGACAGGATGAACCAAAATTCTGCTTCCTTTCAGCCAAGAAACCCTTTCACCAAAGGCATACAGATGAAGGATGGGATGCAAAATGTGCACAGGATTGACACGTCTCTGAGAACTCCAGCACCCACACAGATTATTCAAACAGCAAGTTTTTAAAAACCATTCTCGCGAAGATTTGACATGGTATATTCTTAACAAATTCGGTCTGGTTTTGTTCTCTCTCCTCCTGCAAAAAATCATGTGTGTTTGCCAATAACTTGAAAAATTCAGTCTTTACTTTTGTTGGAATTCCACCCTTCTAGAATATCCAGTTCTTTGAAAAAATGCAGTTTCTATAAGCAAAATTAATGGTAAAGTACAATTTCTACATTTGTGTTAATGCAAAAAATTATGTCAGTTGATTTTTCAAATATTCCATTTATACACTTTTTTCATGCAAATATTATTCTATTGTAAAGGTTTGAAAGATTTACTTTTCTCATATCCAACAAAAATATGAACAGTAATCAAAATACAGGATAATTATATAAGGGTATTTATTTCTTTTTACTTACCAGCTGTATCCTGCCACGATGAGAACAAAGCTAAAAAAAGGTTTGTGTTTTCTATCTCCTCGTGGCCTCCTCTGGTTTTGATAGACTATTCAAAAGGAATAAAGTGTAAATATATAGATACACGCACATATTTAAAGTAAATTCTTTAAAGTGAAACACATCTGCTTATCAAATCTAATGAATTTCAGACCCTATTAAAAATTCCTTGTTCAGTGGCAACATTTACTTACTACTTTATTTTCTTCTTGAGGTTATCTGAACATCTGAATTTATGATAAAAGCACAGTGGAACTTTAAAGCCTCTGTTACATATTATCTCTTATTTGGAAACACATTTCACAAGTCAAAGAAGTTCTGTAACATATATGTGGCCCCAAATCCAATGAAATTACAAGATGCAGTCAAACCAGTCATGTCTTTTTAGCAACTCACATTTGTATTCATGCAAAATATACAATACTTAACCTCAGAGGAAATACTAACCTGTTTCAAGGCTTAAAGTGGCATTTAATTGCTAGAGGTGAGAGTAGGAACAGTGTGAAGGAATTTGTGCTGTAACATTCTTATGCCTTTTTCAGGGGGCATCTCTATTTCTTCAACAACAGACAGTACTGAAATAGATGGGCTTAAGAATGGTCATACTTGAGCAGAATAAACGCTTTTCATCCTGGGTTCACAGACACTACTTCTTGTCACAACTTATCATACCTGCAAGTAGTGAACTGAAGCATAATACTATGCTAGTAGACCACACCTAGACAGCTGTATATTTGACAATCAGTCTTATCAATTTTTAAGGACCATGGCCTTTTTTCAAAGTCTGCCTAGCCAATATATATTAAAACCTATCCAATGTTACTTTTTAAAATTCATTTCTTCACTTTAATCAGCCAACTATGAGTTAATTATTAAAATAATGCTTCTGTGAAATATAATTCTATAAGACATTAGTCTAAGATTCACCATTCACAAAATAAGTAGAACACTCCTAACCTGAAGTTCTTCCCAGAGCACTGCCCTCATTTCTTTGCCTTGTTTTTTAATTGCTTTCTCCTTAAGACGTTGCTTTTCAAGTATTGTGTCAAGTTTATTCATTTTCTTTATAGCTGCTTGAATCTGAGGATCTACATCTGTGTCTTCAGAACTTTTCAAGTTTGCTGTAGAATATATTTAAAACTAATGTTAGCTTGAAGCATGTCAACTTAAAAAAAACCCAAACACTAAAAAGCACAACAAGTAATTTGCTAACAACAATAGACAAGAGTACAACTACTGTCAAGCACATATACCATGTTAACTTCTAAATCTGTTTGTAGCAGGGAAAAATACAGAAGTCTTTGCAACAGAATGCTGAATCAACCTCTGAGCTATAGCAGTTGGATATGGAGGTGTGGGAGAGGAAGAGACACCCATTTTGGGCAAGTGATTTGATTCAAAGTTATAATGGAAGACTGACAACATCTCCACAGTATCAGCAAAAATCACAAAGTAAGTTTAAAAATAAAAATAATGTCTTCAACCTGACAAGTGGAACTATGTTGAAATTAATAACTCTGGGGTTGAGACCTTCTAATATCTCTACCTTTAAATGTTACAGAAGTTTCAGTCTTGACTTATATCTCAGACAAACCAGATTCTGATAATGTTGCTATGAAAAATAGAAATGATGAAACATTATGAAAACTACCATTATTTAAGTAGATTTCTGTACTGTCTCTTTTTCTTTCCTAAATATGCAGACCACAATTTCTGATCACTTTCAGCTTCTCCCCTTCCTATAGCATCCTCATGCCATGTCCTCTTTCCTGGCCAAACTTAGTTTCCACATCACAAGTAGAACACTAGTAGCACTGTCCCTATCCCACAGACTCCCAAATTTTGGAGTCCTTCAATACTCTCTTTCATTTTCTAATCTTAGAGGTCATTGATCCAAGCATTTATTGTAATGCATTGGTCTACTTTATGCCGTAAAAAGGATGAGTGATAAAACAAGGGGAAAGCTATAAAAGCTATAAAAATCTAAGTGAGCTCCAGGGAAACTCCAAGGATAGATGGTAAAAAAAGAGCCCTTATTTCAACTGGCCTAAACCCAGCACATGGGTTTAAATGACTGAGTTAAGTTTTGAGGTTAAATTCTATCCAATTTCTGTTCTGAAGAAACAAGTATCATATTTGGTGACCAGCACTGCTGCACTGGAAAGAATCACCCCTGGATTCTGCCTGACCAAATGCAGGTAAAACTAAATTCTATCATAACATTTAAGAAAGTGAATATCCATTAATAAAACAATCTTTAAACAAAGAATTCATCCAACACCTCTTGAATAGCACAATGCATATATATTTTCAATTTGTAGTATTTTTTTATAACTACATAATAGACACACAAATACATTTGAGTCCCAAACTCTCCTAGGAGCATTAATAAGAAAAGGAAAATGAAAAAGTTTTATTAAACTGTTCAATTTATACACCTGAAAAGCAATACCTGATTTTGCAGTACTTGATTTTCCTTGAAAAGGTTCACAGAATTTCAAAGTCCATGTTTCAGTGTCTTCACAATCTGAATCAGAGCTACACCCTGAAAAACACAGGGAAAAGCCTTTCACAATAACCCAGATCCATTTTTGTGAGGATCCCCACAGAGCCTCTGCAGGGATTAGTTTAAAAATTGGTATGGACTAGTACACCAGGACTCATGTTAAATGCAGGAGCAGGAATCAAGGGATTTCTTTTGGCCCCAATTCTTAACTAAATTTGAAGAAGGTATCCAAACTTCTGCTTCAAATACTGCCCTTTGCATCTCTGTTTATCAATAGTCAGAAGCTCCAGAAAGTTAATTCATTACCATTTACAGAATGAGAAGAATGCCATCCAAAGCACTACTGCAAGTGCTTTAATTAAAATTACACATTGCATACTTATATTCAAAGTATTTTATTAGTATTAACAATATTCAGTTGTTAAATACTATAACTTATAACCATAAATCCTATTTTTTGGACAGGTTAGGATACACAGTTTCTAACAAATGATCATGATCTCTGTGAAACGTTTGATAAAAACACCTTAATGAATACACTTTCTAGCATGGTTCCATGGAACACACTGTATTTGGTTTGCATGGCCAGAGTTTGGTAGTGAGGGGGCTTCCGGGGTGGCTTCTGTGAGAAGCTGCCAGAAGCTTCTGCCATGTCTGGCAGAGCCAATGTTAGCTGGCTCCAGGAGAGATCCGCTGCCGGCCAAGGCTGAGACAATCAGAATTACAGTAATGCCTCTGTGATAACATATTTAAGAAGGAAAAAAAGTTATAGCGCAGATGTACCTGTGGCCAGAGAACAGCCGAGTGAGAACTTGTGAGAGGAACAGCTCTGCAAACACCAAGGTCAATGGAGAAGGAGGGGAGAAGGTGCTCCAGGTGCCAGAGCTGAGGTTCCCCTGTAGCCCATTGTGAAGACCATGGTGGAGCAGCTGTGCCCCTGCAGCCCATGGGGGCCAATGAGTGAGTAGAGATCCACCTGCAGCCCATGGAGGAGATCTACGCCAGGGCAGGTGGGTGCCCAAAGGAGGTTGTGAACCAATGGGAGGCCCATGCTGGAGCAGGGTCCCGGTAGGACTCGTGGCCCTGTGGGGGACCCACGCTGGAGCAGCCTGTGCCTGAAGAACTGCACCCCATGGAGAAGTGACCCATGCAAAAGTTACAGCAGTTCATGGAGAACGGTTGCCCATGGGTTGGACTCACGTTGGAGAAGTTCATGGAGGACTGTCTCCCATGGGAAGGACCCCACAGTGGAGTGCAGAAAGACTCTTATCCCTGACCAGCAGCATCACAACATGTGACGAACTGACTGTAACCCCCATTCCCTGTCTCCCTGTGCCAGTGGAGGGGAGGAGGTAGAGCTTGGGAAGGAGGGAGGGGTGGAAGGAAGGTGCTTTTAAGATTTATTTTACTTCTCATCTTGCTCTGACTTTGTTAGTAATAAATTCAGTTAATATCCTCATTTTGAGTCTGTTTTGCTCATGATGGTATCTGGTGAGTGATCTCTCTCTTGGACCTTATCTCAATCCATGAACCCTATGTTGTATTTTCTCTCTTCTGTCCAGTTGCAGAGGGGATTGAGAGAGCCACTTTGGTGGGTGCCTGGCATCCAGCCTGGGTCAACTCACTCCACACACACAGATGCTTTCTCCCAGTCTTTTAGGCCATAACCAAGGTGCAGATCACAGCTTACGAGGCCACAAAAGATATGCTGTACTTTACTGGCAGTAATAACCCATTTCTTTCAAAGGTCGATTCCAAATAGTGAAGTGAAGGTATGGATTTTGACATCTTCTTTTCTAGAATGTTACCTATTTGCAACCTCTTTTTCTTCCACCAATAGAATTTTACCCAAACTATACAAACATCATATTTGGTCTAGTCTCAACACGAGAAAGTGTTAGTCATTTCCACACCTGACAATTCGTTGGGTTTCTGTATACATTTCTGAAGAGAGAAGGTCGTACTCTCCACTGTGGTTTGCTGATCTGTTCTTACTGCCTGGACATCACATTTCTCTCTTTTGTTTTCTGCTGGACAGCAATCTTCTAGACTGTCTCTCTGATAACCATCAGCCACACTGACAAGTGAATCAACCTATGAAATGCAAATTATTACAACCATAAAGACAGAAATATTTTGGGAGAAGATTTTGGGTAATCACAATACTTACATGCTATAACAAAGGCTGACAACAATTCTCCACAATATTTAAGTGTACTTCTTAAATAAAAGAATCATTTTCAAGTCTGACAGAGCTCAGTTCCTTAGTTACCACTTTGATTCTCAAGCTCGTCATTCCACAGACTGCCAAATCTGGGACTGCTATGCTAGGAAATTATTACAGTTAATTACAAATAATTATTACGCAGACAACCACACATGAGTCTGTGTGTAAAACAATCTCATCCATTTCCAGACACTGTGAGTGCTCTGCAACATGAAGCATCCCAATCTCTTGCTCACACTACAAAGAAAGGCTGAAAAGCTCATGCTTAATTCATCACTCTCAAGAGATTACAATTTCCATTCGATAGCCGTAAGTTTAGATCAGAACTTGGATTCAAAGTTATCTGCTGTTAACGTCAATACCTGACTGTGAATCTATAAAAAAATATTTTAATACTTCTGTGAAGCGTCTAAGTACGATCCCATTCTACAGACAAGTGAGCAGAGGTACAACACAATTGGACTAAGCTAAGTAAATCAATCTAATTCTCCAATTCCCAAGTCCTAGTTCCTACATCCCAACAAATTTATCTCATATCCCATCCCCAAAATTAAGTTAATCCCCAATACTAATTTTCTCAGAGGATAGATTAATACCTACTTCCAATAGCCTTTGCTAAATTCCTAGAGCTGACATTTCTTGGAATAGTATGAATTGGTTTTTAAACTTAACCCAAAAATACCCGGAGAGAACTTTGTAGTCAAAAATTCAACTTGTGAGGATTGCTCAAATGATTTCTTTTAATCTTTCCAATTTAAATTTAAAAGCACAAATGGGATAAAAGTGAAATTATTCACAGACTGCTCACGCATTAACAACCTACAGCTGTGTATTTACATATTACTGACAGAATTTCAAATGTTTTTACCTTAAAACAGAATTTATTTAATAATACGATTAAATATAAAAAGGAAGACAACCAAGTTTTCCAGGTTGCAGTGCTAAATTACCCTTTTTGTGGCAAATATAAAAGTAACACAGATTCACCAAAATGAAATTAAAAATTATTCCATTGCTGCATAAGGAGCAGATCACATCATGAATGTTCACATAAGCCCTTAGCAAACCTGCAGAGCCCAGAACTGCATATGAAGCTAAAAAAGCAGAATATTACCTTTTAGCATTCTTATGAAGAATTAGGCATAGAGTTTCTAACCAGCTGAAGGTGAGAATTACCTTTTGCAAATGTGGCTCTGGTGTTAGTAACTCTATAGATGTATTCAAAGATCCACAATTGGGTTTTGAGCTAGATGCAGGCCTTGAAATGTCATCTGCGCTCCCACTTGTAATGTCCATTGTTACCTAAAATTGGGAAAAAATTCAAAAACAACTCTCCAAACTATCAGTTCCATAGTAAAGCAATACAAGTCTTGTACTATTTCAGATGTAGATCAAACAAGTTTCAAATCCTTTCTAGAAATTCCATACTGAGAGGTCTTTCCAATTTAGATCAGCTTCCTACTCAATTATACATTTTTTAATATAGGTGCAAATATACATTTATATTATCAAGCCAACCAAAGTATTCAAATGTACTTACTATCAAAGAAACTTCAAATGGTGTAAATCTTAAAAGTAATCTCACAACGGAGAAATTATCAAGGTTCTTTTTTTTTTCTTTTCTTAAAAACTACTGGACTGGCTAAGTTAGCACAAACAAAAGAATTAGGGCATTTTAGAGACATCTTGAACACAGCTAAAGCAGCCAAAAGCTATTTATGTTAAATGGGGGAAGTTCCAAAGTCCAAATGATCACATTCCTCATCTCAGCTGTTTTGAGTTTAAACCACAGAAATGCATGTTTCTCTGCAAAAACTGTGCGAATTCCCAGGAACTAAACATCTTGAGTATGCGACATGCGCTGGCAACTCTCTGAAGGCCCAAGTGAATATAGCTCTTTATTTCAGCACAAGAAACGGAGCAAACCTGTACACAAGTCTGTAACATAACAAGGTATAAAAAGCGGGCAGAGAAGAAAAAGAGTAGTTCGTATCCATTCACTTCACCTCGTGCATCCCGGGCTCATCCCCCGCACAGGCCTCTTTACACCAATCACCACGTGCCTCCACGTCCGATGAAGCTGCAGCCCCGCTTCCCACCACAGCCAGCCGGCCGGCCCCCCTATTCCCTCAGGAGTTCTGGCCTACACGAGGCCCCTGGCAGCAGCATGGCCCACAACACCCGTGGATTTTTTGGGAGGGAAGGCGGGCGGGACAGAAGAGCCCCGTTCTCACCGCGGGAGGGCGGCAGGACCCGGGGAGCCGCCGCCGCCGCCGTTCCCATGACGACCGTCCCCGCGGGGTCTCGCGATAACAGCACGTCCGCACTGCCCGGGCCGTTCCGTTGATGGCGGCCGCGCTGCTCCCGGTGCTTCGCCGTCCTTCCCTGGGATGCAGGCATGACCGAGGTCTCCCGCAGGGAGCCGCGCTGGAGCTCTGCCCACTCCGCCCTGACAGAGAGAAGTGCTGCTTGAAGGGCGCCCTTCCCCTCCTCATGTCCCCCCACAGGGCTGTGCCGGGCCCGTTTGAGCTACAGAAGAGTTACTGTACTGACCCTTCTAAACAGTGTCTCTCTGCTGTGAATTATTATTGCTTCTTTTGCTAGTCTTGTTTGTCTAGGCTCCTGCATTAATTGTGTCAGGTTTATTTGTCAACAAGGATAGGTGAATCCCTTTAAAATAAACGTTAAAATTATTACTGTGGTCACCATTTTTTACTTGAATATTCACTGTTAGTAAGGAATCTAATTAATAGAGGAGTGTAATTGCCTTCCTAATCCCACCCCTTTTCATATCTTTTCTGCATTTAAACAATATGAGATGGTTAATTCATGTGTTCTGATTAACTTGCGAAATTACTGGCTCCTACAACTAACTTTGATACTCAGGTACGTCAGAGCGGGTTTTCATTGACAGCAAAAGTTTACAGGAAACAGTTCAAAAAACTAAGTGCATCTCATGCAAAGTAATAAAGTTTTCATTGATGCTTATAGTATGGCATTTTACTGTCACTTTTGCCAATAAGAGAGCACTTTGTTCCTTCTATTTAGTGTCATAACAATGCAATGTGGTTTACAGTTAACTGAAGACAAACACAAGAAATGCACTAGTGAACTCTCTGTGTTTTAGCCTCCTTCCTAAACTCCAAGTATGTTAAAATTCTAACTTAAGTCTTGCAATTGCTAATGCAATACCACAGTGGTGTTAGGAACCTGTGGTGTTTTCCAGATGGTGCAGAGGATGATTTGAAGCAAAAACCAGAAGAATTAACATTTACATCTGCATTTAAGGTATTTAAATATTCAAGGCCAGTAATGGCAATGAGAAAGCAGTAAAATGGACAATATCATTCAGAACTGGCTAAACTAAAATCTGGCTTTTGCTGTATTAGGAATTAAATTAGCTATGAATAATGAGGTGTGGCAAGCAGCTAGGTATAACTGCCCCAGTATTTATTTCTTTCTACAGTACAGTGTATATACTTAACAGCTGACAGAGTTTGACTTGCTATCAGCTTCCCTATTACAGACTGCCTAAAACCTCAGAAAAGTCCATGAAAGGAGAACATCCAGCTCCAAATCTGGTAAAAAACAGACATAAAACTCCTTTGAAAGTTAGGGCAATAAACAGACCCTTTTCCTTCAAAGGACAAACAGATTATGTATTAACATCTTTTGACTGGCATGTGCCAAGTCAAGGGCAAAGAGCCAGAAATTTTGGTCATATTCCAACTTTTCTAGAAACCCTCAGTGAGGAGGAGTAGAGTTCTGCAGAGTGCTCCATCAGCTACAGTGATACAGTGCAGTCACCTGTCAGCTGACAAAGATAGCCAAACTAAAATGCAAAGTCCAGAGTCAATGGTAAAACTTCCATTTTGTTTAATAAAGCCAGGTTTTCATTCTTTGACTTGTACTGCAAAGTTCATGCCTTGACAAAGCTCTTTCATGTTGCCACACCTGCTACAGGACAACAGGAGAGCATAGGAAGCAGGAGCTCAAGATGAATTGTGTTGTGCTGAAATTTCTCATGCCACGGCGTGCAGTGTGTTGGGAGTTTGCTACCAGACAGGCACAAGGGAAACAAAACAATGTGATCCTGCAAGTGTCTCAGGACCTTCTTGTGCAGCTTAGGATGTGATCCAGGCAAAAAGTAGAGGGTTTAGTTTTACAGAAAATGGAGGCAAAGAAGCTATAATACTCCTTAGTCAAGTAGTGTGCACAAAGGAATTTCTGGAGTAAATCAGCATTTGAGTGCATTATACTTAGCCATAGGGAACCTTGTGATGAAGAACAGCTGTTAGAGAAACCCTGGTTTGCATTAACAAATGTATATTCAGGAATCTGATCTCACTTGATAATTCTTATGCTTGCTTTAAAAAACAGTCCACTTTCTCACAGAGAATAAACAACAGAACTTTCTCCTCACAGGGAAGAACAACAGAAACTGCAGAACTCTGCTATGTGCTTGCAGAGAGCCTTTCACAGACGTAAGAATGCTTCTGCATGCCACTCTTATATTATCCCTGAAGAAACCATACAAAAAATCAGCTTGTGCGTACCCTTCACCACCTTTGGTTAGTTTAGCAGACTTAAAACAGATGTAGAACAAAGACCATTTTGGGCCGGTTCCTGCTGTTCCCCTTCTGTGTCCTCCAAGGACAGGGGAGGGAGGAATCAACCTGCTCATGAGTGCAAGCATCTGCATCTGGAGTTCTGCACCTTTCCCCAAGATGTGTCGTGTTTTGTTGTTTTTCTAAACTGTCCTTGAATTATAAATCACTCAAGATTGCAGTAACTAACCTTGTGGTCCCAGTTTGATAGTTAAAAACATCATTATGACTAGTTTAGAAATCCTGCTAATATCCCTGTTTTGCACAGAGAAAGTTGCTCCAACTAAAATAAGAAAGAGTCGTCTTTTGAAAAGGTAAGGAAGTTTTAAGTCTGAAGGCAGGACTTCAGCCATATCTTTTGGAGGGGGGAGGGTGAGTCCTTCAAGGCCCAAAAAAATAAACCCATTGATTATGTCATACTGACATAATACACTGACTTCTATGTGGGTTAAAGCACATTTACACAGTAACTTATATCAAGTAAGATTAGAAGGCAAGGATTTTGCTTTTTTAATGTTTACATTCTTTATCAAATTATGCAGTGCAAGGTCAGGTGACATGAACAAGAGGAACAACTTGAGTTCTGTGCGGCATGTAATCATGTCCATAGTTATTGTCATAATAACTTATAGGACAGATTCTGCTTAGTTGGAACCAGCTTCTAAGTCCCCATCAACTGATCTGGAGAAACATCCTGACTTTCCTCTTTGTTCTTCAACTTATAGTCCACTGATGCAGCAATTATTATCCCAAGAAACAGGGAGCAGAATAGAAGAAAACTCATTACAGAAATATAGCCATCCTTTTCTGGAAAACATTATCTATAGGTGTATTTTTAAAACCAGAACAACTGTGTTCATTAAATTATTGCAGTTTAGTAACAATTAGATCTGTTCTACAGTAGAATACTTGTAGAGTTTCTAAAAGACTGCTTTTCTGTGGAAGGTTTTCCCATTGTGCAAAATAAACTGCTCTCAAGTATTCAACCAACATAGCATTACTTAGTATTGAAGGACTGTGTTGTTTTTTTGTTGAGTTTGGGGATTTTATATTATTTTTACATGATGTTTGAATTTTAACAGTATTTCTTGAGGATATCTCAGAATAGTAAATTGACATTGTCTCCATACTCTTTTCACCCTTTTTAAACTATTGTTTCTTTTGTTTAATATGTGCTCCATTTTCCCCCTCTAAGTGGTAGAATAAAGAGTTTTAACTTTATTTTCTCCAGGTTTATTCTTGTGTAGTAAGATTTAGCCTTTAAATCTATTTGCACAGGTCAAAGTACACCAGGCTTTCTCTTCATAAACTCCCACAGCTTTGCTTTGTACTTCACTTTTGTTCTTGTGAGACACTGGATATTAATTATATATTTAAATAACTTTTTATTGACACTTAAAAAAAAACATGCTGTGGTACTTTTCCACCTCTGCCACAGAAGGACCACTTTTTTCTGGAATCCTTCTTCTGTCCAATTTCAGGCAAGCTATATCTACTGTCTCATATCTGGACCCCTTGAAGACTGCTCCTTACTCCCAAGCTGAGAAGCTCTTGAACTAGCAAAAAGTGAAGTGCACTGAAACCAAAGAGGAAATGGAGAAAAACTTATTTTACACATACACACTTTTCTTTAAATATATTTTTATTAAAACATTTGCTTTTAATGCCTTGTAGAAATCCACCACCTTGGAATCATCAGAAGCTGGTGACTTTCTTCAAATATGTCAAAGCAAGAAAAGGTACATCTCCAAATTCTGCATCAGCAGAATTTTCTGTCACTTTTAAGATTACCTGGTTGGATTTAGTAAGTTACCGTGAACTTGTCAAGATTCTTCACCTTGTCCTGTTAAAAGTATGCTTTAAAGAAAACTACTTTCATAAACAGACAGTAACCACAGAAAGCGGTTCAGCATGCAGCAAAGGGCTAAAGTACAGGAAAACCACAAGGAATAAACAGATATTGTAAGACTATGCTTTTAAGAAACTACCCAGAGAGGCAACAGTGAATGCAGATGAAAGACTACTTGCAACTGAACAAGGATTAAAATGTCAGGGTTACAATAGTTTTAGGTCACCTAACAGACAGATATAATTTAAAGTTCACATTCATTATAAACAAGACAATATGCCTGTGGTTATGAAGAGGGGCAAGCTGCAGCACAATGCCTGAGTTCTCACAGAAAGGCTGGTGTGCTGATGGCATGACTGTGGCTCACTCAGGAATCAGGCACCAGATTTGAAAGTCTCATGTTCATACACTGGGTGGTCTACTCCGTGAGATGAGTGGAGCAGGATGGTTGGTATCTGTACCTGTGAAGGTAGAAGAAAAACCTCTCTACCTCTGTCAATTGTGAGAAACTGCATTAATAAACCTTTGCCTTTAGAGGACTGTTACCAGCTTCTTCACTCACCAGTTCAGATGTCACTGAGACACTCAGTGTCTATCTGTGTGAGCCTCTCTCTCTGTGAAAAAGACTCAGAAACTAAGATTGTCACACTCAGAGAAAGGCTACTAGCATTTCAAACGCATTTCTTTCATTTGCTGGCTTTCCCATAAGAAAACAGCAGAGTGCATCAGCAGGTAAGTTTAAGGTTTGTGCCTTTGTTACTTACACAATGCATACATTACGCTGTTGGAACATTTGTATATGCCCTTTATTACAGGATAAAAGTGTTCTATTTATGCCCTTGGCACATACATACTTGTTTATTGGAGTCAGGATTTGTCCTGCATGATCTCCAATCCAGTTCTGATTTAAAACTACAAGAATATATCTGGGGTCTTTACAAAAAAGGTCTTTCTCAGGTTTCACACACATGATGATTTGGGTATCCTTGGCTTTGTGGAAGTTTTATGCCAGAAAACAGTGGTTTAGGTTTTTAAAAACTTTAGGTGTTTGGCAGATGCTTAGTAACTAATTTGTGCAAAAAAATCCAGTAAGCTTTAACACTGATTGAATAAATGGGCTTAACAGAAAACAAATGCATTTAATAGTTCATTTTACTTCATTAATGAAATATGCAGAATCTTGCTGTGTCTATTTGCACCAGAGTAGGAACTACCCATGTTGTATGTCTTCTGCTCTATACAGCCTTTCCTATTAAGTTACTTTGATACCCAGTCCATTTTAATACAGCATGAGATTTCCCAGAAAACTGACTGACGTATTTCCATAATTCAGCCATACAGCGTTCCCAAAGCCATATATAGTTTTTGAAATTTAATCAGACAGGTATCATTGTAAGGATTTCAGAGATAAAATTTAAGAATTTCCATATTTTGATATATTATTTTCATGAAATATTTCATATTAATAAGGAACACTTGCATATACATTTTCCTTTTGTTTGTTCATTTAAATTATATTTGGCACAAGAAAAAATCAGCCTGAAACAAGTTTCAACATAATAAAGATCCATGGGATCACATATATAATAGAAAGTGACCTTCCTCTGTCACTTCAAGCTCCTGCTCTTACTAAGAATCCACCTTGGGAAAGATACTGACTTTATTGTTTCTGCTGACTTTTCTTTCTGCTTTACACTTGGGCTGTTTTGTCTGGATTAGCTCTTCAGGGGTATTCCCCAGAGGAGGCAGGAGTCGCTTCTTACTGTTTCGGTTTTCTGAGAGCCACTGTGGAGGCAACTCAAAGGGTCCAAAACCAAACTGCATGGAATACTTGTCATTTATCGGATCAGCTTCTGTGGGCACAGCTGGGGCCACCTGAGCTGCAGAGTCTGCAACTGTCTGTGGTATAAATCTGTGAACCAAAGTCTGTCCTATTTCTAAACTGGTGGTGGGAATTTCTTTCTGCTGCAAGTCACCAGAGCCAATGGATTTGGTCTCATTCTCCTCATCTTCCATTGGCTTGAAGATTTGTTGTTGCCCAATATGAAACATCTCCAGAAGCTGGCTTCCCGAATGCACATTGGGCTCCAGATTATCATCCACAACACCACCTGAGCTGACAATGTTTCTCCTGCTAAACCTTCGGTGCATCTGTACTATTGTCCCCACTAAGCACTTCCGTACTGATTTGTTAACAGTTAAAAATAACAAAGGGTTGGCCAGCAAAGAGACCTTGGGCAACCAAATGGCAGTGAGGAGCAAGAAGACTGAAATATCTGAAATATTGAGTATGGTGCGATAAATCACCAAAGTCACATACGGGACACTGCAGAAAATAAAGATCATAACCATAGAAAGCAGCATGACATGAAGTTCAGCTTCTCGCTGGGAGGCATATGGGATAGAAACTGTATTCTGAGGAGTCCTTAATGCAGCTATGATGACTTTTTTCTTCTGGCTGGCACTCAGTGCTCTGCGAATAAGAATCATAAAGAGAAATACCACAGCCACTGGTACAATCACAGTGGTGATGTTATAGATGATGACATATATCAGGTGGCCAAGGGAGTAACTCCAAGATTCAGAACAGGTGGACATGGCATAAATATCAAACACATTGGTCACAACAAATACTGGAATGCTGGCCACTATTGCATGGGCCCAGATATAGATAACCAGGTCTCGGGATTTTGCATCAGTTATTTTTCTTTCCAGAGGGTATAAAACAGAGTAGTATCTGTCAAAACAAAAATAAAATGATAATTGATACAATGCAAAGGGTGAAGTCTATAATGAGCATAGTCCTTTTGAAAAACTTCTCACAGGAGCTGTCTGAGCATAACATCCCAAATACCTGACTGGGTTGTCAACTGAGTACCTGCTTATGAAAGAAAAAAAACCCCAATGGTCTGCCTTTGCAGGTCTGTCTGTAGAAAAAAAATTGATATTGAAACTTCAGGATCACATTATTGGTAGTGAACAATTCTTTCAATAACTGAGACTATATAACTTTGGCTAATGCATGTGACTATTATTTTGAAGATGTCATCATCTACTTGTAAACTAGAACAGTACATTGCACACAACTCAAAATTTCAAAAAACATGATGGAGGCACAGATATGTCACACTGAACAGTCAGACTCACAGTTAATTTTAAAAGCTGCTTTATGATAGATTTTTTCTTTGGATATTTGGAAAAAGCCGTTGGTGACAAAATACATGTATCCATCTATTGGAAATACAGTGGTGTTTTGTTTTGCACAAGCTGTGGTCAGCAAGGCCCTGAGCACACTGAACATTCAGTGTGCATTTAAAAAAAAAGCGCATCTCTGACATGCACGTCAAATTTCAGACACTGACTCATTGTTTGCTTACTACTGGACTACTGCTGTGGATTTTTAAGCTCACAGAGTTTTCATGACAGACCTAACTTTTCACACTTATTATTATAAGTGGTAGGAGTTTGTGCTTTTTGTGAGGAAAATCACAAGTTTTCTTGGTGAAGGGCAACGATATGCTGTTCCACTGGCAACACTGGTGTGCGTTATAGATAGTGATACTGCATTAACATGTAAGAGACATATCACTTACATTAACATGTAAGAGATATATCACTTTATTAGGTATACAGTTTGGTTTTGTAGACCTAGCATATTCTGCAGTGAGACATGATAACAGACTTACAATAATTTTATCTAACATGTATAAGTTTACTGTTTTAGTAACATGTCCTGTATTAAACCAGTATCTACCCTTCCTTAAGAATATCTAACTTACAGTCACTGTCAAGCTGATAGAGCTGTGCATTTAGGTGGGATCAGTGACTGATAATAATTTGCAACATGAATGGCATTGACAAACTTAGCCAGTCCAAAGGGCCACTTTTGTTTTAGACTGATCTACATACAAAAACTCTCTGAACCAATTCTGGTTGTATTAATTTTGTTTGTTTTTTTTAAAACAAATCTACATCTGAAATTTGACATTGATGGACAATCTACCTCCAGGCATTGGTAAATCCTTCTAACAGGCAAGGGCTTTCAATTTCCACAGATAAAAATGTGCACCTCCTCTATAGTCTGAAGTTGTCTGCTTTTAAGTTCATTACTGACCAAGAATTATTAACAGGAAGAAAATATAAAAACTTCTCTGAAGACAAATCTGTAGTCTCAAAGTCCTTTATAAATGTCCAGAGGTACCAGAGTAAACTGAAAACTAAAGATTTTCACTGTTACAAAAATATTTATCCCAAAACATTCTAGAGAGAAACTGTACACTGCAAACAGAGCACCAGAACAAAAGCAAGACAATACGAAAGGGAGAAAAATATTTCAAAGGGAGAAAGAAGAAAGGGAAGTGCAGGATCATGGCAAATTTGCTCCCTTACCTGTCAAGAGCAATGGCTGGAAAACTAAGGATGGTCACTGAGCAGAAGACTTTGTGCAGAAACTTGGCAATTCTGCAGAAAAGCATCGTATAGATCCACCAGCAGCAGTGTGGACTGGCACTAAGAGCAATGTCAAAAGGCACACAGACTAGGCTGGCACAGATCCCCGAGCAGGCCAAATTCTTAATGAATCGGCTTGTTACAGATTTAAGCAGCGATGTTCTGCAAGTTGACCACAGCACCATGGTGTTACCTGTGAGTAGAGACAGGAAGCATAAACAAAGGAAAACAAACAGACAAACAAATAACTACCCCCAAACCCCAACAACAATAATCTTAACAGAATTTAATGTTCCCTAGTACTGCAAATAATTTCTTTGCATTTGTCAGGAATCACTGATTGAATCATTACACTGCTCAAACTAGGAAGTCTGTAATAGCTTTATAAACCAGAAGACTGAAAACAATTATTCCCCAGCTATCTCCTCCCAGGTTCTGGTAATGGGTGAATTAGGGAATTCAGAGCCAAATGCCTACACAAAACATCCAAACTGTATTTTTTGACGCTTAGGTTGATTCTCATATTAAATGATCCACTCTGGGTATTCAAATACAGGAATTGGCTAAAGTGCTCATATTTGAATAATTAGTGCATAATTCTTTTTTAAAGATAAAAATGCACTGTAAGTAAATACAAATATAATTAAAATATAAATAAAATATAAATACGTAATTTTAATCCATTTGTCTCGATATATAAGTGGATCACAGCAGTTTGCTTTTCTTTCCACTGACCACTTCAATGGTCAGACAGGCCTGCGTGAAGCCACATCCAGAAGAAATTTGCCTTCCCCCTCATCCAAGAGATGCTATACATACATAATAACATGTAACTAAACACATGGGATAGGCAGAACAGAAAAAAAAAGGACTTGATGCACATAACTTCACAGTCATATACACAGAATGCAACCCACTGTTTTGAATATTCAAGCCCTACCCATTCATTTCAAATAGAATGAATGGATGGCAGTGAAGCAGAAGTACAGAAAAAAACCCAGCATTAGCTATGACAGTATTTTTCCCTTATCATTGCATCTTATTCCATCCAGATCTCAAAGAAATATCATACAACAGAAACAAATTCTCTATCACAAATTTACCTATGATTCTACCTCACACAGCAAGATCACAAGAGTAAATGATCTGTTGTTAACTGCACGTGGCTCTGGGCCCTTTCTAATGCATATGAAGATACCACAAAACTCACGAGTTTTTCTCCCTTCTTTAAAAACCTGTCTTTAGCAAGATCATAGAATCACAGAATGGTTTGGGTTGGAAGCAACCTCAAATCTAGTTCCAAGCCCTCTGCCATGAGCAGGGACACCTTCCGCTAGAGCAGGTTGCTCCAAACCCCATCCAACCTCGCTCTGAACACTTCCAGGGATGGGCATCACAACGTCTGTGGGCAACCTGTTCCAGTGCCTCGCCACCCTCACAATAAAGAATTTCTTCCTAATATCTGATCTAAACCAATCCTCTTTAAATTTGAAGCCTTTCCCCTATGTCGTAGCACTAAATGCCCCTGTACAAAGACCCTCTCCAGCTCTCTGGTAGTCCCCTTTAGGTACTGGAAGGCTGCAGTGAGGTCTCTGTGGAGCCTTTTTGTCTCCAGGCTGAACAACCCCAGCTTTCTCAGCTTGTCTAGATCAGGTGCTCTCACCCTCTGATCTATGGAGGCAGGAGGATCTCCACTAGCACAGCTGAGTGAGGCACACATACTCTGCATCACGTAACCTGATCCCACCTTTCCAACCCTGACTCCACAGACACTATTTTTCTCCTTTATTTTGTTTATCCCAGAGACATACTGTGCAGTACAATCAGCACAGAGCTACAAGAATAAAAATACTGCTTGACAAGACAACTCCACTTATTCTGCTGCAGCCAGAGAGCATGCAAAGTAGAATTTAGCTTCCCACCTCCAAGGAAAGTCGAATTGTTTTTACTGCAGACCATACCAACAACCATATGTTGTTGATACTATACATTGTTGACTCTTAGCAGAAGCTCTTTCGAATGTAATTGATTTATGTGGCAGATTTGTAAGCATTTCAGTACATTACCTACAAACAGACACAATGAAACAAAACAGCATGTTAAGCTGCTCATATAAAAAAGCAGCTGCAGTCCCACACACTTCTCTCTGTTGACACTCATTCTTTGCCTTGATTTGTCCTCTAACCAATAAAAAACCCCAAGCTTTTACTTGCTGAGTAGAGTTTTCCCATTGCTGCCCACATAAAATGCCAGCAAGATCATACTCTTGTTCACCTGGCCAATGTTTATACCAAGTGGCAAGTACTAAGAACTAGGAGAAAGTCTAGCTCAGCTTCTTGATAAAACAGGACTCTGCTTCAATAGAAGCATGCAATACTAACTTTAAAATCTACCTCACAGACCTACTATTTTGGTCTGCAGTACTTGAATGTCATTTGGGATTCAATTTTCTGTATATTGTGTCATGTCTTATGCTAATTCCTTTTGTGTACTAACAAAATATTGAGTTAAATTTTTGCTATCTGATGTATTTTAAAGAAAGGAATCATCACCTGGTTTTGGCAAGTGTTTTGGGCTTGACAATGTATTTCACAGGCAGTATTCAATCAGTTGTATGTAAAACTTTCTAATTTGCTAGGAGATATTCAGTCAATCAAACCACTTACTTTCAAAAATTCTCTAACTCTCCAGCTATTATAGAAGTACTTCTCACACAGTAATAATATATTATTAGAATGTCCTGGAGAAGGGAGAAGCTGGGCTTTTTGCTGTGGTTTGGTTTTTTTTTTAATGAATCTTTCATCTAATTTCAACTGCACTGACATTATAATCTTACTTCCCAAGCAAGATTCACTTCCATTAGAATGAATATAAATGAAGAATGGAAAAACAAAAGAAATCAGAGGCATTTTCATTAATACTTCAGAAGCCTCTAGAGAACTACTGAGCTATTCTTCAGGGTCCTGCAGAGTAACTTCATTCAAGACTTTATATTCTCAGCTGTTGAATTACTTCTACAAATTATGTCACATTGTCATTTATACATCAGAGAGTCACAAGGAAATGAAATTAGCTCTGGTTCTGACTAATCCTAAATGGAAACAGAAAGAATGAAGTGTAAAAAAAGATAATGGTTCTAAGATAAGGAAGCACTCTTTAGACAGACAAAATAAAGTCAGAGCCTGAAAGGGAAAAAAAAGGATAAGCAGACAGAAGTGTCCACTTGGGACACTGGAAAATTAGTCAGTGAATACCCCTCAGGGAAACATTCTTTTTCACTGCAGCTATGAGTAACTTACATACTAATAAGCTGCTTAAATGATCTTCAGATCAGCTTCAGTAGAGACTGGTAGGTCTTCCTGCTGATGCCTTCAAATCAAGTATTTCCCTTCATGCATCCCAAAGCCACCCACTCAGAGGAAAAATTACACCAGAAACTTTGCACAACATTAAATATAAAAAGCTTCAGAACAAAACTGCAAACATTTCCCATTTCATTGTTCCCTAGTTTTCCTTAGCAACTCCTTTCCATGGAAGAGGATACAGTGTTACAGGCAACAAGGCAATTCAACAAGCATTATACCAGTTGTGCTCTGAATCTTTTCACAATGTCTAGAGGCTCTCTTCCATTCTGTATGTGTTAGTCACTCACTGATGAACCCATGAAAGACACTAGTCTTATTCTCCTTGGGTTACAACTAGGGTTACACTGTACTAGGTTGTTGCACATCATCACAGTGGGCAAAGCTGTCATTTTCTACCATGGCTTAGTTTCTGAAGTGTTTCTGCTAGATAACTGCTCTAGAGCTACATAACCTTGGATTTAAACTTCCAATTAGGCTTGTACTGGAACAATCTGGATAGCTGGGAGGCATCCAGGGAAGCCAGAGTGAACAAGCAGCTGGAAAATGCAGCATCTTGCAATATCCTGTAAGTCAATACCGTCAGGGACATGAGTATCATTTACAATCATTCACATATGACAAAGCATATCCCATACTGGTTGCACAGAGTTCCACCACTAACACAGAAAGATGAAGTGTTTTCAATTTAAAAATGGAAAGCACATCTTTGGTCTTCTCAGAGAATGAGCTGTGTCAACATAAACCCCTTACTACACCTGATGTTAGCTGACAACCTTCTCAGTATACAGACTGACTGAGCAGGACGTAAATATCCAGCTTAGAATATCTTAGGTCACAAGGTACCCAATAAGGATCATTGATTCCATCTCCCTTCTCCTTGCAGGACTGCCCTCAACGAAACCATATGACTAAGAGCATCATCCACTCCCTGAACTCTGCGAGGCTTGGTGCTGTGACTACGTTCCTGGGAGCCTGTTTCAGTGACCAATCAACCTCTTAGTAAAGAATCTTTTCCTAATGTCCCATCCAAGCTTCCTCTGATGCAGCTTCCTTCCATTGTCTTGTGTTCTCTTGCCAGTCACTAGAGAGAGATCAGCACCTCCCCTTCCACTGCTCACCTTGAGGGAAGTGTAGACTGCAATGATGTCAGCCCTCAGCCTTCTCTCTTCCAAGCTGAACAAAACAAGTTACCTCAGCTGCTCCTCATAAGGAGCTTGTCTGTGCCTTTGACAATTTCTTCAAGTAAAAAAGAGAAATATGAAATAATAAAGATAACCACTGCATGAGAAGCAGCTTTTTTCACATTAGAAACAAACACATTAAAAGCCTAAGTCAAGCAGAGTTTGTTTTATCCTGTTATTAGCATAAGTATCAACATTCAATAAAATCTCCACGTACTATATACCAATTCTACTGTATTCAGATTGAAAAGATGGTTGTTTCAAGTTGTCCTCTACGTTTTTTAATTGACAAATATCATAGATAAGCAGCCACACAGTACATTAAGTTGCACTGAAGTACACTGAGCAAGTAAATACAACAGTTCACCACAGCATGCTGCCCAGAAGTCCTTTCTGACCAGGAAGTGTTATTGGACTGCATTAGTCTGATTCAAAGCACCAAAAAATATTTCTGCTCCTCTTCCAAGCTGTACCCTCCTTGAATTTCACTGCCAGACACAAAATGTTGATCAACAGCTGAAATAGTTCTGAAGTACAAGCTCTTAGCAATACTTCAAATAATGTGAAAGATCCTTAAAAATACATTTAACAAGCAAAAGGAACATCCCCATGGAAACCAGAGACAGCTATCTAAAAGAAATGCATTT